AAACTTTGCCAGTAAAATTTTGCCAACTGTATGAGGACTGCAGTGATGCCCTTTCTCAGCAGGGTCGTAAGAAGAGAGGTTTCAGTTGACTGAAGAGCAAATTGAAATAGATATGAGAGAAGAGATGAGCCTAATAGCCAGGAAAAAGATTTTCCAGCTGAAGAGTCAGGAAGTAGAGTCTCACTTGAAACAAAGAGCAGGAAAAAAATCCCCCATTGTAGGACTCAGGGAGTGAATTTCCATCGGAAACAGAAGCCTAGGTATCTAACCTAGCTTCAGTCAGTACACAGACAGTCCTCTACTTATAATGGTCCAACTTAGAAATGTTCAACTTCAGACAGTATGAAAGCATGGATACCCAATTGGACCCTTCTTGGACACTCAGGACAGAGGCAGCTGATGCAGCTCCCAGTCAGCATTTGATCACGGGGGTAAACCACTGATCTGCTCAGTGTCCTGTGTGATCAACCCGTGAAGCTTAGGTTAAGTGTATAAATTCATTTGCAACTTAACGACATTTTCAGTTTATAATGAGTTTATTGAAACTTGACTACATCAAAGTCTAGCAGCATCTGTACTCCATCTTAATCATCAAAATCTGTCCTCACCACGGTTCAGTGGATGTGCTACACAAAGAAGGCTAGAGACAAAGGTCTCCTGTGTGTTGCATGACTGGTGGTTAAGTCTAAAGGTCCAGCGATGGATCCAAATCTGAGTTATGGCATCAAAAACTAATAATGAAAAGATAGCCAGACAGTAATTAAAACAGTAGGAGTGGAACTAGTGGAACTCTTATTCAGGAATTATTGGAATGCAGGAAAGAGTCCTCAGTATAGCACGGGGCTCAATTCCAAATACAGCATGAATGAGTGAGGATTTATAACCAAGGAACAGTGTGAGTCTTAAGAGGAAAGAAACATCAGGGAAGGGGCACAGATTAGGAAAATGAAAAGTGAGATGAGACTTTTTTGAGTCAGCTTTGATTCTTAATTTTTGGTGTTTTAAACTTTCTTTTTTTCATATATCCAAAGGTTTATTTATTTGACAAAAACACAAAATGATATTATCATAAACAGAGTGAACCTTGGTTAGTGAAATCTAAAGTTTCTACACTTTTAAAAAGCTGTCAGATACAAACATCACAAAATGCAGAAATAAAATCACAGTGTTTTGATTAATAAACCAAGAACTCCTAGGAAACTTCCCCCCTGTATTATCTACCTTTTATTTTGCTTTATTTATATTTGGGTAGCTCATATGAGAGAAAACATGCAATAATTAAGCTCGTGTGTCTGATTTATTTTACTTAATGTTATGGTCTCAAGGTGCATCCATTTTTCTACAGATGGTTCAAGTTTATCCTTTATGGCAGAATAGTTCTCAATTAGGTATATATACATCACATTTTCTTTGTTGTTCATCTATTGTTCGACATATAAGCTGTTTCAAAGATTTAGTTATTATGAATCATGCTGCTATAAACATGAATATGCATATATCACTGTGGTATGATGGCTTTAACTCTTTTGGGAAGATAACCTAGAAGGGGAGTAGCTGGGTCAAATGGCATTTCTAGTTTTAGTTTTTTGAGGAATATCCATACTGATTTCAATAGTGGTTGTACTAGTTAATATTCACACCAAAAATCTAGAAGGATTCCTTTCTCCCCACAGCCTCACCAGCATTTGTTATTATTTGAGTTTTTGATGATAGCCATTCCTGCTGAAGTAAGATGGAATCTCAGTGTTGTTTTAATTTGCATTTCTCTAATGGTTAGCAGTACTAACCATTTTTCATGCATTTATTTTACACACACACACACATATTTTTCTCCTTTCTACTAAGCTTCTCACTCTTTTAGGTGTAGTCATTCTACTAGATTTTTTGGCATTGTTTGTTTCATTATGTCTTTCTAGAATATCCTTGAGAATTTTTTTTTGTAGTGCTGGTTTGGTAGTCATGAATTTCTTGAGGGGCTCTTTGTCTTGTAAATACCTTATTTCTCCATCAATTTTGAAGGGCAGTTTTGCAGGATATATAAGTCTGGATTGGAAGTTGTTATCTTTTAGGGCTTGAAACACTTCTCTGTAGATTTTAATTTTCCTGTCAGTTCCTTCCCGATTCCTGGGTGATCTCTTTCTCTTTTTCCTACCTCAAGTTGTTATTTCTCAGTGTTTGGATTCTGGATCTCTGAGAGGATGGATTCTGCTGCCCTGCACCACTCTGCCATCTTGATTCTCTCTGAAGTCGTACTCTCAGTAAGCTGCCAGGCTGGGGATTTCGTCTAAGTCTCACTGACTCCAAAGCCTGGGACCACAATAGCCCTGCTATGTGTCATGTTGCTTTTAGTATGAACCTCATGAAAGGAAGCAAAGGGCAACTCTACTTTAGCAGAGTACCTTGGGGTCACTTAAAATGGAGGGGTTTAGCTGTTTCCCCACATGTAGTCTCTCCACCTTTGTGCATTCAAGTTCAGTTCATTGCCAGTAGGCATAATTATTGATAAACTCAAAATCCATTTTATTTTTATTTCTGTCTATATAATGATACTTTTTTGTTATGCTTAGTAATTTCATATATGAGAATTTGCTGGAGAATCATTCTCTGAGCTTTCTAGCATATCCATTTTATATGTTAAATTTGAAGAATCATGAAAATAAAAGCTGTGAGCTCTTTATAGTCATTTCACTCTATTAGTTTCAGAACCTTGAAGATTTTGCCCTTTGAAAATGATTTGTTTTCTGGGCTCTCTGATGTCTTACTATTTAGCAAGTATTGCTTAAAGTGACTTGTAGGGATATTTGACATGCTCTTTAACCCTCTCACAGGTTCTACTCTGGTTTTGAAAGCCTTGAGAAGTCACTGAATAGTCTGAGAATTGTACTCCTGTAGAAATAAGACAAAGTGTTTCTTTTAAACTTTGTATTTCTTAGAATAGGAGACAAATTTCTGACTTAAATCTGTCACTTGCTATAGTCTAAGACTCATGACTAGCAAAATGCAGCAGAAACTTGGTTTTATGTGTTACTATTTTTGCCCAAATCATCACTTAACATGAGATACCTTAATTCCCTCCTCCTTTCCAGGATAGTCCCCCCCACACACACACACTAAGATTCTGTGATTTAAATGGTTAAATGGGCTTACTTTTTTTTTTCTTTTTTTTTGGTACCAGGGATTGAACTCGGGTTCTTGTGCTTGCGCATCAGGCAGCAAAACCACTGAGCTAAATCCCTGGCCCCTAAATGGGCTTACATTTTTAATTGCACCTAGCAAAATGTTTCTTGTCAAACATCTTGTCAAAGGTACATTGTCTGCCTTTGGCTTACCGATGGAGTATGGGTCCCACTAATAGTGGAATTGGAAAATCACTAACCACCAGACACTAGAAAACATTTGATGGAAGCAGAGTAATGGGGTGACTGTTAACCTTTCAAATTCTGTCATAGACAAGGAGTCCTTCCACATTGAATTTATGCTTTTTTTCTTTCTCTGATACTGAGCTGGGTACAAAGATCCAATAAACAGGTTTTTACCTGGAAGAGATTATGGTCTAGGAGGAACTAATCACCTTTAGGTGATTAATAGAAAATAGAGGATAATGTATCATAAGACAAATATAGTTAAGTGTCATAAAAATCAAATACATAGTGGAAATAATCTTCTAGAGAGAAATGGGTACATATAGGTAGCTATTGAAGTTTGAAGGGAAAGATTACTCCTGACTTTGGGCTGCAAGATGAAGTATTATCTGAAAGAAACAAGTTATATCCTAAAAGGATTTAATTGGAACCTATGATTTTTAAGTATCTTATCATCGAGAAAGTGCAATATTGTAGAAAGAACATGGGCTTTGGAATCAGACTTACCTACACATGATTTTCAACTCTGCCATTTACTTAATAGCTGTATTATGTTACATCACCTCATTTCTTTGAACTTCAATTTTCTCATGTGGAACATTGTATGGGAATTGAGATGATTTAAATGATTAAATGGGATTACATTTTTGAAAGCATCTAGCAAAATGCCTGGTGGTACCTAAATTGCCTTTCAATAAATGTTAGTTGCTTTTTTTCTCTTATCTCCCTCATTTCAAAGTCCCCTCAGTGCCATTAGCCTACTTGATGAACTTGGAGGCAGGGATTCCAGGTAGAAGGCAATTGCAATAGTTCATTCATCAAGCACTTGCTCACTGCTTGCTTTTTTGGTGGAAATGCAGAGGAAAGCATTAATTATTTTAAGAGGTATTTCAGAAGTGGAATGGATAGGATGCAGGAACTACAGGACAACTAGGCAAAGTAGGGCAAAGAAGGGGTTCAATCAGTTAAGAGATTAAAGTGATCTACATCTATATAATCCCTGGCATCAAACTACAGGAGGACAAATAGATTATTCTTCTCAGGAAAGGATTAGTCTCCTTTTTAAACATATACAGCTGGTTCTCCATATCTGGATTTCATAGCTACAGATTCAACCAACTTTGGATCAAAAATATTATTAAAAAATTGCATTTGTACCAAGCTTTTTCCTTGTCATTATTACCTAAACATTACAATATACCAACTATATAACACCTATAGTATATTGGCTATTATAAGTAATCTGGAAATGATTTAAAGCATATGGTGGGGGCAGAACAGGTTATATACAACTATCATACCATTTTATGTAAGAAGTGAGCATTCAGAGATTTTAGTATGTACTGGGGTCATGGAACCAGTCCACCAATGATACTGAGGTACTACTGTAAAGAACACTAGCTGTCTTCTACATGAGAAACGTGTTTCCTACAAGTTTTATATCTTATTTTTAAAGGAAATTATTTGTATTATAAAGGACCTAGGTGATATATGTGAGTCTGTCTGCCCATGAACATTGAATTTATTGTAGAAAATAGTGCTTTGCACTATTTCTAACCAGTGTTGCTGACATCGCTAGTCAGGTATGGACTGACTTTATTTCTTCTTTTTGTCTTCTTTCTTTTGTCCCTCCACCAGTTTGATAGAGGTTACTCTTACAATATCCGCCATAGCTTCGGAAAGGAAGGCAAGAGGACAGACTATACACCTTACAGTTGCATGAAGATTATTCTAACCAATCCACCAGGCCAAGGGGATTATCATGGTAAGTGCTCCCTCTGGCAGTGCTGGTAAAGTAAAGAAACCCAGCACACTGAAACTATAGAATGTCTTTTTGTATTACTGACAGGATCTAGTTTGTAGCTTCTGTCGGTCATCAGTGCCACACTAGAGCTCCATTTTGCTAAATGATTTGTCTTATTACTGAACTAGGTCAGGCAAGAGAAATTCACTTAGCTGCACTTCAGTTTGTGCTGGGCCAGGCTTTTCAGTTCTCAATTTAGCCCCTTCTGTTTTTTTTTTCTGTCTTGTGTTCTGTCTTAGGAGACTGATACAAGCGTTTCAAACCTTTTTGAAATTGGAAAACTCTTAATTTGGAAATAGTAGATCCATTAATTTTCAAAAAACTACTGAGAAAGAGTATTTTATTCTCATTACTATCATCTGATTAACCAAAGAAGATTAATGTCAGGTTATCAAACATATCTATCAACTTGCCTGAGTTCTTAGCTAAAAATTAAATGTCAAGATATTTTCTGTAGACTTCTGCATTCAACAGCTTTTTTTTTTTCTAAAGCAATTTTGTAAGCATACCTCGAGAAGCTCCTATTTGGTGTGTTAAGGAATAAGGAATAATTTTACAGTAAATTAGTAAATTTTCTAGATTGCCAAAGCTTACTACAGTACATACCAAAATGTTTTTTTTTTTGTTTTAGAATCTTAAATGAAACAATTTAAAAAAGATTGCATACTTTTAGTTTGTTAAAGATGGAATAATCACAAACTTCTTAGAAGATGCTGTGTGTCTAGAATTGGTGATAAAGGGCAACTCCTATCACTTGTGTTAGTCCCTTAAGATACCTTTAGAATTGCAGATTGCTTAGGCTCCACCCTCCAATTTAAAAATGTCAGACTTTATTTGCATTTCCCCCGGTGATTTTTTTTTTTTTGTCTTATAAAGTTTGAAAGCCATTGATTCAGATACTTCTGTCCATAAAACTAGAAACTTTTATTAGTATAGCAAGTCATACCAGGACTTTAACTTAGAACTGAACTCCTGGGGAAATGAAATTCTTAGGGATTCTTCCTGTGAATTCCCAGGTCTTAGCATTCATCAATTACTTAGTTGCTTTTTTTTTTTTAATTTATTTTTTTTGGTACTTAGTTGCTTTTTATTAGCATAAATGTAAGACCTTCTACTTTTTTTATTCTTGTTAAATTATATCTTATTTATTATATTTATTGCATTTGTTTTGTTTTTTATTTAAACTTATCAGTCAAGAGCTACAACGGAAGAGCCTTAATTTCAGGGAATACATTCTAAGACCCCCAGTGGGTACCTGAAAGTGTAGATCCTGCCTATGCTTCTACATACTGTGTTTTTTCCTATAAATACCTGTCTATGATAAAACTTAATTTATAAGTTAGGCATAATAAGTAATCAATAATAGAACACTTATAACAATGTTCTGTAATAAAGCTGTGTGAATATGCTCTCTTTCAAAGGATCTTACTGCCCTGTATCTCCTTTGTGATGGTGTGAAATGATGCAAAGCCTGAGTGGGGAGATGAAGCGAGGTGATTGATAGGCATCAGGATGTAGTGTTAGCTACTGTTGCTGGGAAGGATTATGTCAGAAGATCCTAAATCAGAGAACTAAAATGGTGTCAAAGGCTGGATGTCAAGAGCAGATGATGTTGATGTTTGGGGATCTTTAGTAGTAAAAGATTTTTTTCCCGTAAAATGTTTTAGAAGAACACTGCAATTGAAAGTTGTCTTTTTTTTTTTTTGTACTGGGGATCAAACTTGGGTCCTTGTGCTTGCGCAGCAGGCGGCGAAACCACTGAGCTAAATCTCTGGCCCCGAAAGTTGTCTCTTTTTAAGTCTTCAAAGTGTTGCAGAAATTTCCCTTGTTGATCATTCAGCTGACTTTAATGCCACATTCCATGTGAGAATCATATTCTATAATTTGATCCTTAATATTTGTGCAGTTCAAAACACTTTAGCAAATTTCAGTCATGTCCACATTGCTGTTTTTGCTTCAGTTTCTTCTTCCTCTACAGATGCTTCAACGTGTTACTGTGGTTCCTCATTTGTTCATGCATAGTTTTCACTGTGTTCTTCCACTTCTTTGTCATGCATCTCAGCAAATCTTTCATGAACTTGTCTTGCTGCCTGAATAATTTTCTTTACTTCTCTATTGATTCTCAAGGACCATTTGAATCATCTGTGAATTCTCTCAACAGGCATTAATAATTTCTGAATTTAATTCATCCATTGCAGTTTTGATGAGTATTATTGGATGGGCAATAGTAACTCATTTCCAGCATCATATTATGTTTAGGTTAAGTCTGTCTACATCAAAGTACTGACTAAATGCAGTTAAATACCAGGTGGTGTATGTGGTCTTGACAAACTAAATGATGCAAGGTCAAGGGGCTGGAGCAATAGCTTATATTTGGGGATAGAAACACAACACTGGCATTTTCATTTTCATAGCAGATTCAGGAGGGCAGGTGCATTATCTATTATTAATAGGACTGTAAACTCCACCCCTTTCTCTTCCAAGTATTTTTTCTCTTCTGGGATAAAGCATTGGTGGAACCAGTCCATAAACAAGATGCTGTTGGCAGTTCTCTGCGATTAATTGCCAGAACACAGGCAGATAATTTTTGGTTTTGAGAGCACATAGGTTGTTGGCTGTGTTCACTACCCCTGGCCTTATCGTATGCACTGCAGTGTTTCTATGTAGCACATGTTAATCTGTCCCTCCAGGTTTTCTGTCCTGCTGCCTCACTTTCACCAGTATAGGTTCTGTTGACCATCTCTTTCCAGAAGAGCCTGGATTTCATCAGTTGAAGATTTGCTCTGGATGGCATCCTTTGTCTTGAACCAACTTCAACTCTGTAGGAAATGCAGACAGCTTCTTCTTCCACATACACACCTCTCCAGTAATTTTTTAAAATTAATTTTATTGGTACATTTTAGATAATGATCACATTCATCATAGAAAATTTGTACCTGTACATGATATATATTATTTTTTCCCATTCCCCTCCCTCCCTTTAACCCCTCTTCCCCTCCTTATTTGAAAAACCTTTGTTTCCATTTTTTCTTTCCTTTTTTCTTTTCCCTTCCTTCCTTTCTCCCTCCCCCCTCCCCAGTTCCTCTTCCCATTTGAACATTTTCTTCCTATTTCACAGTATCTATTATACATTTTGGTCCTTAATTACACTTTCAGTTTTTCACATTAGAGAAACAATGTGACATTTAAACATGTGTGTCTGATTTATTTCACTTTAGGGTATGGTCACAAGGTACATCCATTTACTAGAAATATCTCAAGTTTATTCTTCTTTGTGGCTGAATAGTGTAAAAAGACCACATCTTTGTCCATTCATCAGTTGATAGGCATTTGAGCTGTTTCCAAGATTTAGCTGTTACAAACTGGGCAGCCATACACATGGGTGTGCATATATCACTGTGCTTTGATGCTTTTAATTAATTTTTTTATTTAAAAAATTCTTTTAGATGCTTTTAATTCTTTTAGTAAGATACCAAGAAGGGAGGGCCAGGGATTTAGCTCAGTGGTGCTGCCACTTGCCTCTCAAGCACAAGGTCGCAAGTTTGATCCCCGGTACCGAAAAAAAGAAGGGAAATAGCTGGGTCAAATGGAACCTTTAGTTTTAGTTTTTTGAAGAACATTCATCATCACTGGTCACTCGACAGATGCAAATTTAAACCACTGAGATTGCATCTCACTCCAGAAAGAATAGCTATTATCAAGAATTCAACGAATAACAAATGCTTGAGGGGCTTGGGGGAAAAGGAACCCTGCTCCACTGTTGGTGGGAGTGTAGACTGGTGCAACCACTCTGGAAATCGGTGTGGAGATTCCTCTGGTAATTTTTATGTTTTATTCCAGCTATATTCTGGAATCTTTGTAACCATCCCTTACTTGCTGTAATTGGCTTGATGTCAGTCATTTCAAGGGAACTTCGCTGAAGCCTGCATATGGCTTACTGCTTTCTGACACATATAGAATACATTTTGTGTTCATATTTTCTACCTACAAGTTCAGTACCTTTTCCACCATAACTTAGCATTTGTATAAGAGATGATTGAAAAATATGGTGAACATTTAAGTTTTAAAAATGTATTCAAGAGACACAATTCATTAATCCCTCTCAAGATACTCCCCCTCATTTCAAACACTTTGTCCCATTGTTCCTGCTATTTCCTGGAACAGCTCTAGAAGTTAGTTGTCTTTTGTATCTTTATGAGGTGTGATAAAAAAATACAGTGACAGCTGCTGCCAAGTGCCATCCAGTGGAGAGGCAGCTCATAAAAACATGGTGGTGTGTCCTTATCCACCTTATTCACTGGTTCTGGCACCACAAGATTTCTGGCTCTTCCCCAGAGTCAAAATGACTATGAAAAGTGTTTTGAATCCATTCAGGACATCAAGGCAGCCACCACAGCACAACTAAAGACACTCACAAAAGAGGACTTCCAGAACTGCTTAAGGAAGTGGCAAGAATGATGGGATGAGAGTGTTTGAAGCAAGGAGGGTATTTTGAGGGGCTTAATGCAATATGTCTTACTATAATAATTTTTTTAAAGTGGAAGCACTCAGTACATTTTTTTTTATCACTCTGTATGTTGTTCTCATAATTTTTGCAGTCTGAGGTGGGATAACATAATCAGCTTGAATTTCTTTTCCTTCTTCGCTGTTTCATGGATAGAAGATTCATTCTTACCATAGGTCTCAAAAACCTGCACATGCTTTTGTTGTTGTTTCCTCCTTGGTAAATGTATAACTTCCACATTTTCACATAAAGGAAGCATTTTACAGCTTTCTTTTGACGTTCTGAATTTCTAGCATCAATATTCTTGTGCTCTGAGAACATTGTGAAATAAAATAAGGGTTATTTCAACACATGCACTATATGATGATGGTTTATCTGTTGATGGAGATGGTCATTATGTGAGTATTGGCATGTAGTGCATGCAGTGTAGATACACTGGACAAAGGGCTGATTCATGTCTCAGAGTGGAAGGAGCAGATTTCATCACAGTACTCAGAGTGGTGTGCAGCACAGAACTTTTAACTGTGTATATCTGGAATATTACATTTAATATTTTTGGACTGGAGTTGAGTGATTGAAACCACAGAAAGCAAAACATCAGATATGGTTGTACTACTGTGCTAAGCGAACACTCAGTGAACTCATATTTGCTGGCAGTAAATGAATAAACTTTATGTCTTAGAGCTGCCTTAGGTTAACAGCAAAATTGAGCAAAAGCTGCAGAGTTCCCATATACCCTCTGTCCTTACATGTATACAACCGCCCCGACTGTCCACATCCCACCCTGCAGTGGTGCGATTACATTCCCACTGATGATCCTGGGTTGACACATTGTATCACCCAAAGCCCATAGGGTCCCCATTAGGGCCCTGTGTGTCTGGGCACATTCAGAATGCAGTATATCTGCCACTGTGAAGAACAGTTTCACTGCCCTTAAAATCTTCTGTATTCTGTGTTTTCTTCCTTTCTTTCCTCTAATGTCTGACAAACACATCTTTAACTGCCTTGCCTCTAGTTTTGCCTTATACAGACTGTTTTATAGTTGGAATCATATCATATGTAGTCCTTTCAGAATGTCTTGTCACTTGGTGATATGCATTTAAATTTTCTCCATCTTTTCATGTTTTATAGCTCATTTCTTTTTAGTGCTGAATAATACGTATTTGTGTGGATGTAAACATATTATCCATTCATCTATTGAAGGTAGGTTGCTTGTAAGTTTTGACAATTATGAATAAACCTTCTGTAGACATCTGTGTCCACATTTTTGGTCAGATATGTTTTGGGTTAGTACCCAGAAGTGCAATTGTTGTATCATTGGCAACGCTGTGTTTAATTTTGTTAGATAAGGCCAAATTGTCTTCCAGAGTGGCTATATTGTTTTGCATTCTCACCAGCATGATTAAGAATTCCTGTTGCTCCAGATCTTTGCAGTATTTGATGTTGTCACTGTTCTGGATTTTGCCCATTCTAATATATATGTGGTGGTATTTCATTGTGATTTTAATCTACAATTCTCTAGTGATGTGTGACATTGAAGTCTTTTGTATGCTTCCTTTTCATCTTTGCCCGACACACTTGTTCGTTAAATGGGTAAAGACAGGACTGAATATATACCTGCTTTGGTTTAAATCTAAAGTGTCCCCAGAAGTGTCATGTGTTCAGAGTGTGTTTGCATCACAAGGGCGTCAGTCCACTGTTGAGTGCACAGCTGAGTGTGCTGTTAAAGGTGACCAAAGGGTCTATTCTTGTGCCTGGCCTCTTCCTCTCTACCCAGTTCTCCTGGAGGTGGGTGTGTGTCGTTCGGATCTTTAACCGGTGTTTAACCAAGTCCACTTATTAAGGGATTTTAAGTGTTCTTTGTGTGCTTTGGCTTGCAGCATTTTAACAGATGTATCTCTTGCAAATGTTTTCTCCTAGTTTGTTCTTCTGTTCCATTATCTCTTTCTTTTCCTTTGTTATTCCAGTTACATATATGTTAGACGTTTTATAATTGTCCTATACTTCTTAGATATTTTGTTCTGTTCTTTTCAGTCTTCTTTTTTCTCCTTCAACCATTTCAAGACTACTGAGTCCATTTTTATATAGCGTTTTTGTTATGTAGCATTTAAAAAATTCTTAGACTTTCCCTCTCCCTGCTTATATTAATATCTGTTTTTGTTTATTGTCACTTTGTTTTTGATTTTTTGGTGATGCTAGGGATTGAACCCAGGGCTTTCATGATGAGCTACAACCTCAGCACTGTCCTCTGTTTTTAAGATAGGGTTTCACTAACTTGCTAAATTGCTAAAGCTGAGCTCAAACCTATGATTCTCCTCAGTTTTCCGGAGGGCTGGGATCAAAGTTGTGCCGTCATGCCCAATTTATTATAGTTGTTTTAAATCTTGATCTCCTCATTCCAATATCTTTGCCATATATAACTCTGTCCTGATGGCTGCTTAGTAGCTTTAAGCTCTAAACTTCACTAGTACTTTCCAGTTTTTCCCCCTCTTAGGTGGGACAACTACAGTTGGTATTTCCCTTTCCCCACATATGTTAGGTTCTGATAAAGCCCCAGCAAGAATCTTGTTTCTTTTTCCTGAGGGAAGATCTTGTTTAGATCAATGTCATGCCATATATAAAAGTGGTTCCTTTTCTCCCCTCACCAGCTGAAAGCATGAGGATTTTTTTTTTCCCCCTGGTACTCATGGTGAGAAGGTAGTAGAGCTTTTGGAGGTAAAACTCACAGAAAATTTGAGAGGCACCCCTGCCACCATGCCTGCCTGGGTCCCCTTGAGCTTCTAGCTCTTAGACATGTGCACAGTCAGACTCCAGCAATTTACCAGTTGCAGGGTAGGTTTCCCTGGCGCTAGTTCCCATGGAGGTTCTGCTCATAGGCTTCTGTGTCATTTGGGACTGGCTGTAATCACCTCTCTGTCTCTCTTACCTCTGAGGACACAGTTTGCCTGGTGACCTCTTCACTGTTGGATCTAAAATGGATTATTGACTTTTTCAGTTGCTTTTCTCTAGCTTTTTTCTTGTTTAGGATGGAATGGCAACTTCTAAGCTGCTTACATGCCTGGTCAAAAACTGGAAGGCTAACCTTTTTAGTTTCATGTTATTTACAAAATTACTTTATCTTTTCAGTTGATATTGTTTTATCAACCAATGCTAGTTAGAACAGTTGTTCATCCAGTTGTGAATCTACGCTGGTATTGTATTAATCCCTTTTCCATGCTGGAGTCAAATATCCAACATAGATAGCTTAAAGAAGGAAGAGTTTGTTTGGCTTACAGTTTCAGATTCATTCCCTGGTCATCTGGCCTCAAGGCAGGAACATCATGGTGGAAATTTGTGGCAGAAGAGAGCTGCTCATCTCATGGAAGAAGAGAGAGCAAGGAAGAACTGGAGAGTGAGGGAGGGGCCAGGGCAAGGACATATCATTTAAGGTTACCCCTTAACCTTAGTTACACCTTAGTTATGAACTCATCAATGGACTGATCCATTGATCTTCATAATACACACACCTCTGAAAGCCCCATCTCTGAACACATGCGACTGGGTGGACATTTTGGATTTAAGCCATAGGAGGTACATCATCTATGACATCATCTATGTGACTAAAAAATGACCAGAATTTCTTGTATTAAATTTTCAAATAAGTGTTATGACTTACCATTGCAGTTTTTTATTAGGAAATGTGAAATCTAGATTTTGACCTAATGCCACCTTTGATTTTTATTCTTCTATGTTCTTAATTATGCAGATATTTGTAGTAGTCTATCTTTGTTTCTCATGAAATTATATAGAGATAACATGTAATATTCATATATGTATGTATGTTTTTCTGTGAAAGTTTCCTCTCTGTTCATGTCATCTCCCTCCATGATTCCTCTAAATTTGTAAGGGTTTTATGTCTGATAATGGTTTAAGATCTTTATATTTCTCAGAATTTTTACATTTTACTTTTTGATTGCATTATCTATTTCCCTTTTGTATACATTTTGTGTCATTTTTTAGACTAGAAAAATATTGTATAAAGCTTTTTTAGTAAACTGTCATAGTTACTTTGTGATTATCTGTGTTAACTGTTAGCAAGTAGCAAAATCAAGGCTGTTTTTCTGGTTGTAGTGAATGGACCTCTTAGCCGGGTATGCTGTAATGTTTTATATCACTCTTGAGCCTGTAGTACCCTGATAACTGCACAGCCAAGTTGTCGTTTAGATAAGGAGTGGGAAGCAGTTGCACCCATGGACAATTAACTTCTTTATTAATAAGCTGTTAGACAATTAAGGGGAGTTTAGACAGTCTCTGGAGTGTGGTATTGTGCGAGTCCTGAGTAAATAACCTTGTTGCTGTGTGCTTGTGTTTTGTTGTCAGGGTGCCCATTCCGTCACAGTGATCCGGAGCTGCTGAAGCAGAAGCTGCAGTCATACAAGATTTCTTCCCAAAGGATAAGCCAGGTAGGTGAGACTCTGCCTCCTCAGTAATGAGGTGGCCTACAGGATCTCTCAATTTTATTTAATGCTCCTGTGGTGGTATTGTATACTACTTGTTATGCTTACATCAGACATCCTGTCTTTTAGATGAATTCACCTAAGGCTTTGACTTTTCTGGTTTAGACTCCTTGGAAATTTCAGTTCTTCTGTCTGCTAGTCTGCATTTTTATTTTTCTTGGTTGTAAAGAAAATGAAAAACCTTTTCCCCCTTTCAATTTGTTTTGCTTCATCAGTTGAGGATCACATTTTTTTTTGGTGCCAGGGATCAAACTTGGGACCTTGTACTTTCCAGGTAGGTGGTTTGCTGCTGAGCTAAATGCCCGGCCCGAGGACCACATTTTTAAAAGTGATTTTTTAAAAGTTATGTATTAAAGCTTATTAATGAAGCAGCATATTTCATTTTGGGAAATTGTTTTCTGAGCAGTCTCTAATGTAGTCTGTACTGGATGGATGTTCTTTTTTTTTGATATTGGGGATCAAACTCGGGACCTTGTGCTTGCAAGGCAGGCAGTAGAACCACTGAGCTAAATCCCTGGCCCCTGGCTGGATATTCTGATGGTGTTGGTTATTGTTATGTTTAATGTATAGTTCTGATGGTAGTTCATTAGGCCTAATAGATTTTTTAAAATACTAGCTTGTGGGGCCAGAGATTTAGCTCAGTGACACAGCACCTGCCTTGTAAGCGCAAGGTCTTGATTTTGATCCCAGGTACCACAAAAAAAAAGAAAAAAAAGAAAGAAAAAAAGTACTGACTTGTGAACAATTTAAAAAAGGAAAGGTTTAAATTTTAAGCCAGATATGGAAGGGTACATCTTTTAGTAAATCTGCTTTTCTAAAGAAACAAATAATGTGACAGTACAAAGACTGTTATATATAGTATGCTACCAAGTTGAGTTGGATTTGAAGGACGTGAAGAAGTCTTTCTACTTCCTTAGCTTATGAGCAATGTAAAGTTTAGCACTGGAACATCTGAGTCATTATGCATCCTTCAACGGTTATCTTTTTTTTTTGGCACCGGGGACTGAACTTGGGACCTTGCACTTGCGAGGCAGGTGGTGGAACCACTGAGCTAAATCCCCGGCCCTTTCAACAGTTGTCTTAAAGAACATTCTTACTGTAGAATATTACTGCTTCTTTGTCCAAAGTTCAGATGGAGTTTAATCAGTCTGAATCTTAGTATTTCCATACTTACTCTAGGCAAGGCAACACAGGAGATGCTGTGGGTTGTGCAAAGAAGAATTAGCTGTGTGCTCTCACAGAACTACGGTTTGGAGGAAAGCATAACCCAAGTGTTAGAAGAGAGAGTATCTTGGGTATTCTGATGAGGGAGAGACTATAACCGGCTGGGGAGACAGGAACTGTTTCTGAAAGAGATAATCTTTGAAAGAGGCCTTGAAGGAAGGTTGGGAATTAGGGAGAATGCCTGGATAAAAGGCAGGAAATGTGTAGGATTATTAGGGTTTCAAGCTTAGGTTAATGTTAGCACAGTTATAGAAACATTAACAGGCAGCTTGAAGTAGTTGGCTTAGGAGATTAATTTTAGAGGTGAAACATTCAAATGGCAGACAGAATATGGATTTGTAGCACATTAGAGAAGTTAGGACTAGAAATCTGGTGTACTTTCAATTAGAATTGTCTAACTTTGAGATTGGAGTGGCCATTAGAAAACCATTTTCTTTTATGGAGTCCTAGAATGTGGGTGCATACCTAGTAAGTCAGTGATAGAAACAGAAATTGAAGCAGCTCTTCTGACTTCAAGATTTTTTTTTCTCTGCCCCACTCTACTTTTGAGTTGATTATCGTGTGTTTACTGTGGGACAAAGGAGGTACATGAAAATCCATGTCTCAAATTGAAATCTTGGCTGATGGTTTTGTCAGCATTAAAAGGAAGTATTTTAATCAAGCCTGAATAAGAATGGGAAGAGAGGCAGGTTCACAAAGTCCCTTGTAGCAGAAAGACTGTTTAAAGTGAAGTCTGCATGTGCGGGGTGAGTTACTTAAGTTTGACTTTGGTGGGAGCTGTCAGTATAATAGAGGAAAGCAAAAATAAGAACATACTTATCTAAATAATGCATGAATTGGGTGACCCTTTCAGAAAATGTACTAGTAAAGGGGATGTTGGAGTGATATTACCGTAAACATCATGAGATGGCTTATTCATGGGTTTAAGACTGAAGGAAATGGGTGAGGAGTGTAACTCAATGGCAGAGGACTTGACTGGCCTGTAGGAAGACCTGGGTTTCATCCCCAGCACCACAAAACAAACAAACAAAACTGAAGGAGACTTGAGCTTGAACCTGTTTGTAGAAAGAGGAAAAGAAATCCTCATCAGAGAGGGTGGGCTTGATGAAAATTTAAAACAAAGACCGTTTCTAACCAAGCAGAGGTTAGTCCTCTTTCCTTTAAACCATGACTGTATTGTATGTAATGCCTTTAGCCCTTATTATAATAGATTTTACTTTACGTTGTTTACTTGTTCATCTTTTCCACTAGTTTGTGAGTTTCTTAAATGGAGAACTGGATTTTTATTTAACCTCTGTCTCATAGTAATTCAGTGACTTGGACTTGGTAAGTGCTTCAAGAGTAAATGGGCACATCTAAGTCTGAATGGGATCCTAGAGTTTGTGCCTGTTATGTGCAGAGAGACACACAGGAACTCAAGAACATGAGTGAAAAAGCGACTGAAGAATGGAGTTTACTTGGGCAAAGGATGTTGACAGAGAAAGGTCTGCCCCATAGCCAATGTGGGAAAAGAGAGAAGTTTGATAGAGCCAAAAGAAGTCAGTCGATGGAGCAGATCCCATAACTTTACTGTGGAAGGTTGGTCATCAGCTGAGAGTAAAGGGATTAGGACTGGATTTAGGAAAGGCTAGAAACTCCTACTACCAAATTTGATAAGAAATCTAGAAGACAGTTAGAGGCCTTTTGAACAGTCATAAGTAAATCACCTTTTAAAAAATGATGCTTATATTTATTTAATGGTAATGACTATGTATAATCTTTGGTTTTGGCTCTCTCATATCCTTCCATCTACCTTTGTCCGGATTATGGTTTAGATCAAGAATGTCTCCTAAAGGGCCGGGGATTTAGCTCAGTGGTTTCGCCACCTGCTGCGCAAGCGCAAAGACCCGAGTTCAATCCCCGGTACCAAAAAAAAAAAGAATGTCTCCTAAAGACCTCATGTGCTCATGGGCAGGGCTTTTCAAAGGTGGCTGAGTCATGGGGAGGACATAGCTGCGTGTGCTCTTAAGAGGTGGGGGTCTGGTCGGGAAGGGCGGGTCCCTGGGGCTACCTGGAAGAGCGCATCTTCCTTCCCGGCTCCTCTCTTCTCTCCGCATCCTGGCCTCCATAACATGAGCAGCTCTCCTCCACTCAGGCCCCTCCACCATGCTGTTTCCGTGTTTAAGCCTGCCAGACATGGAATGAAATGTCTGAAACGAGCCAAAGTAAACTCCTCCTCCTTTAGTTGTGCAAGTCAGGTATTTTGTCCCAAGTCTGAGGAAATGACAAAGACAGTCCATAAGTATACCCCTTACTTAGTTGAAGGTGGCTGGTAATTTCCACATTATTCTTTGGACCCTCATCACCACCTTTTATTTGAGAAGAAGGCAGATTTACAGTGTATGTGGGCAAACTATATATAAAATGTTTTTCTTTAGGGTCTTTATTGAATAGAACACAGAGTGAAGCAGCTGGAGGACTGTATTCTAAAGGGCACAGAGTTGATGAATGAAAAATCCATGTGAAACATTTGATAAATTAGTTGTAGTTGGCCTAAGTGCAGATTGGACCTTAAAAACTCCAAGGGTATATTAAAATATTGAATGAAAGTAGAGAAAAATATCATTAAAATGTGTTTAAAACTCAAGGTAGCTTTTATTTCAGAGAAAAAATACTTGAAAAATATACCTTCTACTCTAATACTTAGATGTATTAAATTTGAATTTGAATGATCAGAGGAGATCATTGTGATTTAGCTGGCATTGCTTACTTTAAAAATAAAACAATCTTATTAGGATCACATTTCACTTTTCTTTGGATTAGCATTGATATTGTTAAATCACCGGTAACATTACTGAAGAGTAATGGGCATGTTATACAACCTAAGGAGACAGCAATTGAATGACAGAATATGGCCATTTATTCCCTTCCCCTTAAAGGGAAAACATGGTGGTCAGTTAACCAACAAGACATAATATTCTAAATGTGCTTCAAAATGCACTTAGTGAGAATAGAACTGAAGTGTAATAACTGGTTTTGTTTGGAGACTTCAGCATTCCTTTCTCAGTAATCACAGAACAAGTAGATCAGTAAGGATGAGAATTTTGAACAACCCTCTTGACCAGTTTGATCTTATTGATATCTTTGGAACATTTTGCTAAACAACATGAAAATACACATATTTTCATTTGTACATGAAACGTTTACTCAGATCATAGGTCAGTACACAAAAAGCATTTTTCTTACAATGAACAATTAGTAATTCATTTTATACATATCATATGTACTAGTACCAAAAGAGGACAAAAATATGCAAGATTATTATGCTGAAACACTGATGAAAACAATGAAAGAACAAAATTATAGAGATAAATTGGGCATAAAGGAGTTCACAAACAAATCCACATGTATATGGCAACTGATTTTTAAGCCACAGCAATGAATTAGGGAAACAATAGCTTTTTGAACAAGTCCTAGAGAACAAGATGTCCATGTGAAAATAAACCCCAAAATAACAACCTAGACATATACTTTGCACCTTATGTAATATTTAATTTGAAGTACAATGTAAAAGTTTTGTAGAAGAAAACAGAAAATCTGTATGACCTTTAATTTGGCATATTCCGTGAAAGAAAGGGTAATGAATTAGACTTTATCAGAGTTAAAAGTTTTGCTTTGCAAAAGACTGTTAAGAGCAAAAGATAAGCCACAGACTAAAAGAAAATATTTGCAAATTATATATT